TCTACCAAGCCTTCAAAAAGTTTGCGGAGGCGGAAGAAGGCATAGATGACTTTTTTGCAGGACTTTAAGCACCTCTGCCTGCTACATGAGATTGCCCCAGCAAATCGGGTTCCCCTCCTGGCTGGGTACCTCACAGGGAACGTTGCGAATGCTTACTGGGCTGTACCTGAATAAGACTGGCGAAACTATGCCGGTGTGAAGCAGGTCCTGTTGACGAGGTATGTCATCACCCCAGAGGCATGCCGACGAAAGTTCAGAGAGCTGAAGAAGGGGGGCCCAGGACTCCCACGTGGAGTGGGCTTGACGCCTGAGCAAGGCAGCCCACAGCTGGGTGCATTCCCAGCAGGCAATGACTCACAAGTTCTACAATAGGCTACCCACAGAGATTTAAGATTAGGTAAGAGACCGGCAGCCTAAGACTTTAAATGAAGCAACCCAAAAACATAGAACCATTCGGCCCATGTAGTCTCCCCAATTTTCGAAATACTTTTAAGTCTAGGATAGCCTTATGCCTAGCTGGAAGGCTATTCTATGCATTCACTACCCTTTCAGTAAAGTAAAGTATACCTCTTGTAATCTATAAAAAGAAACAGTGTGAAGGAGTTAATTTTCACCGTGTAAGCATTCCTTACACTACAGAAGACACGCCTCTCTTTGCATTGGCTATCAAAGAAAGGTTTCTATCATAGACTCGGAACCAGGAACATGCTGGAATTTGAGAGGGGGTGGCTACATAGGCTGAGTTACACTGCTATTTTAAAACACTGCAGGAAAGCTACACAGAAATGAAAGGAAATACACGAAACACAGGTATTTGAGCTTGTAAGAGGTTAATTAAGTGTTCTTGCATAGCAAGACCACTTAATGTTATCTCACATATATATTCTTATTCTTATTATAGCCAAATTTGCCACCCTAACTCCTCCCACAGTTTTTACACTACATAGACAAAAATTTACCAAAACGTGCAGATTGTTCCCGATCGGATTGCTATTACTTTGTGGAACGTTTCGCCGAATGGTTCACGGAATATCGTCGTTCTTGTGGCGCAATTTGTCCCATAGGAATGAATGTCAAAGCTAGAGTGGGAGCTGGCAAAAGCTGAAAAATCAGGACATGATTTCTAAACTGCCACCACTCCCTTATTTTCAGGCCCACCTACACAAATCTTATATCAAAACGTTCAGCTATCCCTGCTGCCACTAAACATGTCAACGGCTAAGCCATAGTCCTGATAGTTTTCACAATATAATCATTTGTTTGCAACTAACGCCGTCCATTGACATTCATTGAAACTTCACTCTGCAAAGCTCAAATTTGAAGTGCAATTTCTAAACTGCGACTGAGCCTTCATTTTTAATACTTCAGAGACATACTATGCATCAAAATGTAGGTCTGGGTCTTGTGATTCTCACAATATAAAGCTCTTCGCTGTAGGAGTTATAGTTTTTAAGATACGACCGTTTGAAGATGGCAACCGCCAAAATACTCTGACCTGTGTCAAGCTGCAGCAGCAAGTGATGTCATAGACAGGGCCTTTTGAACACCTGCTAATGTTTTTATAAATGTATGGTTTAATGTAACTGTGCAACAACGTTGCAATTAAATGTGCTATATAAATGATAACAGTTACTCCGCCCACTCCAGTTGTAGACTACTGGTGGAGGCAAGAACACTTCACACAATTTCCCCAGAAATTGTAGCTTTTCTAGTTTAAGATTATCTTGTTTAGCTGCCTGGAGTGCCCCTCCACCAGCCCACCCCACCGGACCATGGCCTTATCTATCATACTTTGCAAATCATTATTAAAAATATCTAAACCAACATCTGAAAGATGAATACTATAACTAAAAAACAAACCTTCACACTGACTCTCAATGTCCACATGGTGAAATGTAAAACCCTGATTGATGGCATAAGCTTCTGTCTGACTCTTTCTAATCCTCTGAGATTTGCATTGCATAACCATTCCAGCCTCGGGACTATTTCTTGCCATATACGGTATCTTACAAAAGTAACCTTCCCACCTATATGCATGATATCCATGAGGTGGTACTAAAGGGATTAATTTATATTTCTCTTGAAATTAACATCTTCTGAACCCTTTTCTATCTATGCAGGCTTATTTTAAGAATGTTTTAAAGTATTGTATGGACCCAGAATGCTTGACATTTGCTGGGCCTTATTTAAATATGCCTCTCCATTCCAGATGTATGAAAGGAATATTTTTGGGGGTTCTATGGGAACAAATTAGTTGATAATGATGCCACTGTTTATATGATTTCTCATGGAGCTCTTGTGCTACAGATGGAGGCCTTTAACCCCTTAAAGACCAAACTTCTGCAATAAAAGGGATTAAAGACATGTCACACATGTCATGTGTCCTTAAGGGGTTAAAGGACATCGCATAAAAAGTAACTTTGCTGTGAAACTCAAAATAAGCTCATCAGACTTAGCTAATGGAACTATAAATGTACTCCTTATTAAATCCACTGACATTTTTCTAATGACTTTTATTAGTAATGCTTCTCAACATAAACTGTTGGCCTGTAAAGCAAAATTCACAGTTCTCAAAATCAAAATAATGTATATGAATTCTAAACAAGGATTGCTTTGTTGTTTTTATTGTACATCAAATTCCCCGGTGTTTTTATTAGATTTTTTATTCTAAAATCTACTTTTACAAATTCTATTGTTTGTCCTGCTTCTGACACATATTCGTTTCCTCCACAGAAATGACACAGGAAGATGAATCTAGTAATATTAGATCTCATATAAGGAACTTGCCAATGGAAAAGAAACATACAATACAGGAGAAGACACAGTCATTAGATGAAAAAAAAAGTACAATACAGGAGCAGACACAGTTATTACAAGAGAAGGAACGTACAATACAGGAGCAGACACAGTTATTACAAGAGAAGGAACGTACAATACAGGAGCAGACACAGTTATTACAAGAGAAGGAACGTACAATACAAGAGCTAACACAGTTATTACAAGAGAAGGAACACACAATACAGGAAACGACACAGTTATTACAAGAGAAGGAACGTACAATACGGGAGCAGACACAGTCATTACAAGAGAAGGAACGTGCAATACAGGAACATACACGGTCATTGCAAGAGAAGGAACGTGCAATACAGAAGCATACACAGTTATTACAAGACAAGGAACGTACAATACAGGAGCAGACACGGTTATTACAAGACAAGGAATGTACAACACAGGAGCAGACAAAGTCATTACAAGAGAAGGAACGTGCAATACAGGTACATACACGGTCATTGCAAGAGAAGGAACGTGCAATACAGAAGCATACACAGTTATTACAAGACAAGGAACGTACAATACAGGAGCAGACATGGTTATTACAAGACAAGGAATGTACAATACAGGAGCAGACAAAGTCATTACAAGAGAAGGGACGTGCAACACAGGAGCAGACACTGTCATTAAAAGAGAAGGAACGTACAACACAGGAGCAGACACTGTCCTTACAAGACAAGGAACGTGCAACACAGGAGCAGACGCTGTCATTACAAGACAAGGAACGTGCAACACAGGAGCAGACACTGTCATTACAAGACAAGGATCGTGCAACACAGGAGCAGACACTGTCATTACAAGAGAAGGAACGTACAACACAGGAGCAGACACTGTCATTACAAGAGAAGGAACGTACAACACAGGAGCAGACACTGTCATTACAAGAGAAAGAACGTACAACACAGGAGCAGACACAATTATAATCTTGCAATTCCAAATGTTGTACATAGCTGGTTTATCACCCTGAAAGCACCTCCTCTCCATCACCCTCATAATTCTCTTGTAACAATGCATGATTTACTGCTCTGTGCCTTTTCTAGGACTCCTGGCTGCTTACATCTGTTTGACATCAGCAAATAACTATTTAGAAAACAGCTAGTAAAAGCCTATATAAAGTGACCTGTTCCTGATGATTTGCTGGTTACTAGTGGTTTTATTCAGAAATAACAAAAAGTAAAATTGCAGGTGCTCAAATAACCTAGGAATTGTATCTTTATAGACAATAGTGCCACAGAAGCTCACTCAGTGTGTCTCCCTGATGACTCAATTAGAACAAACCCAAAACATAGTGAGGGTACTGTGCATATCCCAATGTGCAGCACTGTATAATGGATAAAGCACACTTATCCTTTTGTTTTTTTAAATTAAGTTATCTGCATAATTTTACATGAAATAGGACTGAAACAAAAAAGTGCTCTCTGTAACATATTCACACAGGCTAAAAGAGACATGAGTCCATCAAGTTCAGCCTTCCTCACATCTGTTTTTTGCTGTTGAGCCAAACAAAGGCAGAAAACCCAGTTTGAAGCACTTCCAGTTTTGCAAGAAACTAGGAAAAAAAATCCTTCTTGACTTCAGAATGGCAGTCAGATTTATCCTTGGATCAAGAAACTATTACCCTACAATTGAAAAATGATATCAAATATTATGTTTTTGCAAGTATTCGTTAGACATGTGCAATTAGTTTAATTTTGAATGCAAATTTGTATGAATTGCCAAATGCCGAAGTCCCAAATTGCTGAATTACCGAATTGCCGAAGTGCCGAACTTTGGAAGTGCCAAACCGAACCGAAGTGCCTAACCCTACCTCTAACCCTACTCCATAACACTAACCCTACCCTATCCCTAAACCTACCCCTAGCCCTACCCTATCCCTAACCTTAACCTAACCCTACCCATACGCCTAACCCTATCCCTAAACCTACTCTAACCTAACCCTATATCTAACCTACCCCTAACCCCAACCCCACCCTAACCTGTGTACGTGGTTTTCGGAAGTGCCGATCTGAACCAAAGTGCCGAAGTCTCAATTTATGAGTTGCCGAAGTCCCGAATTTCGTAAGTCCTGAACTGTACCAAATTTTTTTGGCCATGCACATGTCTAGTATTCATCCAGCTGCTGTTAAAACACCTGTACAGACTCTTATAAAACCACTTTTTCAGGCAGATAATTCCAAATCCTTATTGTTCTTACTGTAAAAAAAAATGTTTCTTTGCCCTAGACTAAATCTCCAATGCATGACCTTGTGCCCTATGTATAGTTCTGTTTGTGAATGGATTTCTACACAATGGTTTGTATCACCTGTACTAGATGGGCCGTTCTTTCGGCCATTAGAAGGAACAGCTTTCTCCAGCATAGCTACTCTTAAACTGACCTTAGTTTTGGGGTTATTCTCTAAAATGTCAGAATTCCAACCACATTGGCAATTCTTATATATACTAAAGCTAAATATTGTCAGAATTCACACTTCCCGTGAAAATCTGCAGTAATTGCTTGGATGCACTTGGTGTCCGAATTAAAATCAGTGCTTTTGTACAGGATTTAGAATAGTCACAATGCACTGGTTTTAATAATATTCCTTACCGATTTGTAAATTATCATTCTCTTTATCATTTTAAGTACTATTTGCCTGCTGGCAGTACTAGCAGCCAGGAAGCAAATTGCTAAAAAAAAAAAAAAAAAACCTTGGCAATTCGAAGGTTAATTATGTGTAAGCTGGCCAGCATATGTTAGCCAGCTGACACATTAAAAAAGTTAAATATAAATACATTAAAGGACTATGGAGATCAATAAGACCCCCATATTACTATAAGGGAGGTTTAAAACATGTGGCAAGTTGTGCATGTTTACTAAATGGTTACTAAATGGTTAAAATTAGCAACTGCAAAACCATTGCCCAGTCTTTAGAAGAAATAACAAAGGGGGACAAAGTCAAATGAAAATGTACCCTCCCATGGCCAGCAGGTGGGGGACTTATCTATTGCATTAAAGGTGAGGACCTAGAATTGAAAAGTGGGGACCGTAATTATAATATTCAGGAGAGACATAGTGTCCCACCCAGCCCCCACCCCCACCCCCACCCATGGGAGGTGGCTGTAATGAACTTTAATAATGGGGGATTGGACATATTATTATTTACCTCTTCCTATTAGTGGCATATCCACAATCCCTCCCCCACAAGGTACCCAATCCTGTAGTCACCCCCCATTAAAAATAGTGGACCCTAGTGTCGCCACCCCGATCCTAATAATAGGGTGTGGGGACCATATACTAATACCTGTTATACTCATACCTGTTTCTTCTTATTTATCTTTTCTTTAACCTAAAAAACACCAAATGAAAATCCATGAATCCTGATGCAATTAATGAAAAAAAAAATCACTATTTGCAAAAATTTCTTCGTGCCCATGGGGCCATTTCTTAAGCCTAGTTTTAAACTTCCCTTATAGTATTATAGTTGCTAGTTTTTCAAAATTCTTTTTTTTAATTTTTGTTATGAATTAAAGGTCAGTGCATATGTTTATAAGAAACAGAGAGAGAAGCCAGAAGGTTTGTAACAGTACAGTATTGGACAGGCTCTGCATGCGGGCACGCTCATGAACTGGCTTAGGACTGTGAGAGGATCATAACTTCACCAAGATAGTGTTAGGGGGTTCGTGTGTTGTGTGCCCCGTGTCTGGCTCGTATTTATGGTAGGCTCATTTCCTCAGACAAGTTGGCAGGAATGTTTTGCGATCTGTGGGTGGGTTTCCCCCTTTGAGGGTTCCTTATTTTTTCAGTCATGAGTATGTGGTCCCTAGTTGTCAGTGTCCGTCTAAGGTCACGTTGGTTCATGAGTCTAGACCGCAGTTGAGTCGCTCTTGGGTTGGGGGATTTGGTTGTCAATGCCTTGTCCTCTCTGGGGACATGTCCGATCGTGCTGTGGTGGTGGTTCTTAGTTTGGCCTTAGCTCTTTAGTCCTTATATTCTATGTGTCTTGCCCGGAAGCCTGATAGAAAGGTGTAGTGGTGGTAAGAATATGCATTGTGGAGGTGAATGGGTCTTTACAGGTTATGAGAGTAGAAGTATGAGTATTGTTAGAAGGAAGGGTAGAGGAGTAGTTGAGTGAGGGGCGAGGATAGGGGATTTGCATTGTGTTGCGGGTTGGAGTGGGTGGTATTTGGTGTCTAGCGTAGGGGAGATTATAGTTGCTAGTTTTAAATCTGTGAATTGGAGTTATGAAAGGACTAGATAACTCTAACACCACAAATTTGAGGGGCAACCTCTGGGGAAATCTACTTAAGAACACAATAGGTGTAGATAAAATGAAACAACTTTTGATAGTAAAAATGATCTTGAAAATTTTAGATTGTAAGTCATCAATCATAATATTAAATCTATCTTCAACTTTCTTCAAATCTATCCTCTATCTCCTAAACTTAAATCCCTTTATTTCCAGGATGCAGATCACATAAAAAAAAAATGAAAAAAAGTCCTTTAGAACTAGGAAGAAATACATATTTATGAAATGGGACAGATCAGTGCCTGTATAGAGGAAAGCAACAAATAATAGATAAGATATAGGAACCCTAAGAAAGGGTATAGACTCCCTTCAAGGTACAAGATTAAAAAAAAAAAAGCAAAGTTGCCTTAATTTAAAGAGATCATTATTCAAGTAAATCTGGCTTATAAATTATATTGTCTGAGATTGAGACCCTCAAAGCATTTAGGGTTTTAGATACAATCAGATTAATTGGATTAATTCACTAGCCAATGATAAACCAATGCCTTCTAATTAGTCAATACAATCTAGGAGCGAAGGAGGAACTTTGCAATATGTTAATCCCAATGATTCTATCTCACTCCTTGCCTCTAAAATAGCCGGCATGGTTGAAGGACAATGGACGAGTTATAAAATACATTAAGCCACCTGGGAGGGCTTTAGAAACACTAGAGAGTGCGATCACATGATCAGAAAGCTACTTATTGGTGAGTATGGCTTTATAACCAAGGGCGGCTGATTGGGGGCTGTGTGTTATGAAATAAACACATCAAAAGGGCAAAACAATGTGTATAGAATGAATATTTGAAAAGTCTCTCATCAAATAGATATTAGTTGCGCTGTGTTATTAAAAACAATGAACTCTATAAACTTCAATCTGAAGACTATTAAAGATTCTACAGCTTATATAGGTTTGTTCGATAAATCTTTCTTATTCATCTCTATAGCCCCTTTTGGCAGAGGGAAACACCTCCCTTAGACTTATCCCATTTGTTACTAGATTTAACCACTTCTTGTCAGTCATAAGCTATTTCATTAATAGCTAACTCCCATGGGTTTTTATTCCCTCACTTGCTCGCTATGATTTTCTACGTATATAAATGTTATCAATGGATAATGCTAGAAATATGTTATCAATGAACCTCTTCCTGTGCTGCAAATAAGGGCTATTGTTGTATTTGTTAATGCTCTAGTAATGTGGGCATGCTTAATCAAATTAAATTACTTTAATGGAAATTGTATTACAAATAAAAGATTATTAATATTATAGTTTCTTTGTGTATCATTTTACATACATATAAGTAAATACCTCAAAATCACATTCTAAGTTGGTTTCAGCAATTCAGATTTTTTTCACAAATAGGAAGTCTCTCTCTTGTTGCTCCCTGGAGAAAGGTGAGCCATGTCCATGTTGGTGATAATATGGATGATATACGTTTACTGAGCAGTTACACTGTCTGACACCGCCAGACAACTGAAATCCGAGCCTCAATGCTTCAAACCTAGGCCCGATAGCAGCCACCAGACAAATAGTTAAAAACCCTCGGCAGGGTTAATTATGTGGCGGCTGGCCAAAGCTTGCTACCAGTCAACATATTAACCAAGTTTAACCCCTTAAGGACTGGACTGTTTTTGCGATGTACATTTGCGACCAGGCATATTTTTACACTTTTGTGGTGTTTGTGTTTGGCTGTAATTTTCCGCTTTCTCATTTACTGTTTCCATACAAACTATATATTGTTTTTTTCAGGACAAAAGGGGCTTTCTTTACATACCATTATTTATATAATCTCATGTATTTTAATTTAAAAAAAATATGATGAAAAATTGAAAAAAATACATGTTTTTTGACTTTTACTTGAAAAATCTTTTACTCATCTACAAAAGCGAATGAAAAAAACTGCTAAATAGATTCCAAATTTTGTCCTGAGTTTAAAAATATAATGTTTACGTGCTTTTTTGCTTTTTTTTGCATGTTATAGTGTGGTGGAATCTCGGTAAAAATAAATTTAGTAGGCCGAGATTACCACGTGGCATGTGTACGTGCATATGCTGACGTATCGATCAGTTGGTTGCACGAGGCAAGATACGATCAGTAGTGTACGGAGCATGTGCAAGAATACAGGATGTAGTATTCCCCTCCTCCATTGTGCTGGACAAGCCATGCGGTCAAGCAGGAAGTTAATTCTTATTTGTAATGATTGGTCAAGAGAATGTGCGGGTGGAGCTTAATATGGGAGGAGTTATGTGCCTATATAGGGAGCCTGCACTATTGTTCAGGGCTCAGAACTTGCTGTATTTTTTGGTGACATTAGTCCCTCTGAGTCCCGATCGGTGATCCAATAAAGAATCTCTTCCTTCCTGAAGAAACCTGTGTCCATCTCTCTGTGCTTTGCTTCCGTCAGTTTCTCCGGTATCATTTGGTGCATTGGCCGGGAAGCTCATCGCTCAACGGTAGCTGAGAGGCAGAGGCGTGAGACGGTCTATCTTTGCCCACGTTCTCTACGGCTGCACCCCTGAACTTCTGCGTGGACCTCCCTTCGTCTCGGCGCCACTGGTCTGTTGTCCAGGAGATCATCGGCCTCTACGTAAGAAGCGCTGGGGTGTCCCCGTCGATGAGTGTGAACTCAGGTTCAGGAACGAGGAGGTAAGACAACTGCTGTTTTAGACGGCAGACCCACTAGGGGTATACCGATTGTGCGGTAGGCCCAAAAGGGGTTTAAATCTGTGTATGGAATCTGCCCCTCTGTCGGAGGGAAGGAGCGAAGGCGCACCGCTCGATCGAACGCTCTTTAGTAAGACCGTTTGATCTGGTTAGTCAGGCGGGGTCCTGTGTAAATAGCCCTAGCCGGACACCGGTGTCTTGTCTAGACTAGCGTTCTAGGGTGTATATTACGCTCGCTAGGTCGGAGGGACCGGGAGACTAAGCGGCGCCTGTGTAAATTCGGTTCGCTAGCTCTCAACCTATCTTGGCTAAGTGGGAAGGCGTGTAAATTTGGAACCCACTAGACTTTTGATAGAGTAAACAGACTAGAAGGGCAATTTTGTAAATTTCGCCCTCTAGTTCGCTATATGTGGTGTTTGGGCAGTGTGGCTAACCAAAACGGGTGTATATAGTTTTAGGTAGTCCATTCAATGTACTGGCCAATAGTTTAGTTGGGATTGTAAATGTGTTAAAGATTGTTAGTAAAGTGTATATCTTGTTAGATAGCGCGAGCTCAGCCGTCTAGCGAGAGTGTTAATAGTGTGTTGCTGCATCATAGTGCACGGTACCATAACCCTGTATATTTACTGACACTGTATATAAGTACTAATCATTGTCGTCTATTGCATGTTTAACACCGTAACCACTAATAATTGTATTGTGACCTTAAATTGTGCTTTGACCTATGCCAACCGTACTGTAACCGATACTAGTAAAAGACGATGTTACTGGGGTGTGTTATAGACGGGTAATT